ATTGACTGTTAACCCCACTGGCTGTGTGACTACAGAGAGGATGAGGGGGTGGGGACCGGTGGAAGAGAGTGCAGGCAAGCCAGCCAGAGGATATGGGAGCTGTGGGTAGATGGAACTGAAGGGACAGAGAAGAGCCACCGTTTGGGTCTGTCCCAACCCCTGATCACTGTCTGGGGCAGACCTGGAGGAAGGGCAGGGTGAAGGAGGGGAGCGCACCAGGGTAAAGGTTTCCTTCTGGCTTGAGCAGGGAGAGCAACCTTAGGCCCAGGGAAAAGTCTAAGGGGAAGACAAGCGACAGAGACTGGACAGCTAGACAAAAGGACAGACAGAGAGGAGAGCAAACAAGATGGAGATGTAGACAGCAAAAGAACACGGGGCGGGTGGGGGCGGGCCAACGGGATGGAGAGACGGAGGCCGCGGGGATGGACAGGGTGACAAAAGGCAAGGGGCAGAGAAACAGAGACCAAGTGGATAACTGATTGGATGCTGAGGACAGACAGGCCAGGGGGAGGGACTTGAGAGAGAGACTGAGATCAGGGGACAGAGGCTAGGGAGACAGGCTGACCCAGAGCGGGTCCAGGCTAACACTAAAGGGAAGGTGGTCCGAGAGGGACAGGCAGAGGCTGGCCAGAAGGAAGCTGGTAGAGAGGTCCAAGGGTCTGCACGCAGCACAGATGGATTCTTATCAAGCAGCAGTCCAGCCTAGGTCCAGAAGGGCTCTGGGAGGCCACGTGCTCAGCCTAGGGCCAGGAGGGTGGACCTGGAAACCAAGGCAGAGAGCAAGGGAGGGCACAGAAAAAAGAGGGCCAGACGGAAGGAGGAGGTGAGGTCTGAGATGCGGACAGGGTCCAGAGGCTGCGCGGCTGGTGGTGGGTCATCTGGAGATAGCCCCTCAACTCATCGGAGCGCAACCGGGCCTGGGACCTGCCCCTTTGCATGGCTGAGCCTTGGACTTTCAACTTCTGTACACACACCCTCCTTTCAGGCCAGTCCATGGAGAGAGAGCAGTGGCCAGCCGGTGGGACCTTGTGGCTGAGCGGTCGTGCCGTCTCCATGGAGGAAGCTGTGGGCTGTGCTGCCACAAATATTCTGCCACTTAGGAGCTGGCGGCTCCACCTGCCACTGCCTGCCTGGCCCAGGGACCGTCTCCAGAGCAACGTTCAGCTTTGCCCAGCAGTTGGGCCTGACCCGGGCTATGCAGGTGGCCTGGCCCTGCCAGCCTGGCCTGTCCGTTTCCCGCAAAGTATAACCATCAGACCCAAAGTCCTTCCACCCATTGCCCTTTGTCACATCCACTCTGCACAGCCACCTCAAGGCAGGGGTGCCAGATAACCACTCTCCTCCAAAGCCATTAGAGACAAAGCCTTCCCCATTGGCTTGGCCCTGCACAGCGCTGGGTTCAGTGTGGTGAAATGTGTATCTGTGTGTACCTGTTGGAGGTACCAGGTAGGGAGGCTGCCCCAAACCCACCCAGGGTGAGGAATCTACCTGAGTCATGCCTTCACTGAGCACTACCGGATGTTTTAGAAACTCTGTTTTGGCATTGGGTTCAGTTCCGTTTGAACATCTGCTGCCATTTACTTGCTGTATGTCCTTAGCCAAGTCACTCTTCCTCTCTAAACTTTCTCATTAGTAAATGGAGGCAATACTACTTAGCTCACCTGGTTGTCTTGGAGGCTCAAAATTCAAAATAGACCAAAGGCATGTAACACAGGGCCTAGTACAAAGTGGGGATGTTGGATGGTGTTCACTTTGCACTTCTTCCCTCTACCTCATGCCTCCTGCAAATTGCCCTGGGCCTGCCGAGATGGTAAAACTTGGCTCTTGGCCTCAGGCAGCGCGCAGTCCCCTGGATGAGGCTGAGCTGTGGAAAGACCACGAGTCGCCGACTGTCAGGGCCTGCTGCTGGGGTTCAGCATGCTGGGGCTCACGAGTGAGCAGTTCACTTCCCGGGTCCCCCGTGCAGCTCACGCCTTCGTTAGCCTCTCCAATGGAGCATATGCTCAAAACCGGCTGCATCAGCAAAAGCTGATTCCAACATCTTGGCCCGGAATAGGAAGAGGGTGGGTGATTTGAAAATTGATGCAAATACTTATATATTTCCTTCTGCCTTTCTCACACCACTGGGGACACAGAAATCTTGCACTCAGTCTTCTTCAGGGTTCCCCCCACTCCAGTGAGAGGGTGCGTCTAGCTGGTCTCTCCCCACTCCATCTAGGGCCTTTCTACTCAAAGTGCAACCAGCAGGTGGTTAGAAATGCAGACTCTGAGTCCTGTGCCCTCCACCCCCCACCAAAGCGTTTAACACAACAGAACCTGCATTTAAAGAGATCCCCAGGGGCTTTGTGTGCTAGTCACCACCACACAAGTTTGTGAAGCCCTGATCTTGGAGATTTTGGCAGATCAGCTCCCCTCTCTGAGCCTCAGTTTCCTCATCATTAGGACGTAGGGTGGTTGTGAGGATGCAACTGGAAACAGTGTGTAAGCATTTAGCACAGTGCCTGGACCAGAGAGAGTGCTCTGGAACCATCTGTGATGTCTACTACTGCCCCACACATGGACACAGCAGGGAGTTGGCCAAGGGTGAGACAGAGTCAAGAACCGGGACCCAGGAGATGATGGGGATGCGGAAGGAGGAAGGGAGGGACAGGTGAGGAATTGAGAGGTAGCAGACAGGGAGAAGAAAGAGTGAGGAGGGTGTAGAGAGGAGTGATGGGGAAGGGGAGGAGAGCCAGGAGAAAAGGGGATGATGGGTGTTGGGTCACATTTCAGCTGAAACAGGAGCTGAGACTTGGTGGCGGCTTGGGCACCTACTAAGAATAAGCAGTGTCTTGCATCTAGATGAATTACACCTCTCCCGCTGACTGACTAGCTGTGTGACCCGTGAGTAATCGTCTGGTGAATTCAACCTACCCGATACCAGGGTGGCTGGGCGGACGAAATGGGGCAGCAGTAGATGTTGCCATGCTTTGTAAACTGCATGGTGCGTGTTCTGTTTCAGCAGTCTGAGGCAGGGCATTAAGGTGATAGGAGAACTATGTGAGAGGGGAGGTTCGGCAGGGTTGTTATCCTAGTGAGGATGGGAGACCTAACCTTGCCCCCAACAAGGGTGCTCCCAGCCCCCCAGTTCTTAGAACTCCTCACTCCCACTGCCCTGAACCCCACCCCCCTTCCTTCTACACCCTCCCTCTGAAGCTAGGCATTTAGGATATCTTTTCCCTAACATGCCTCATGCCTTTCCTCCCAGTTTTTGCCAGTGTATATATGTTCCCAAGGAGAGGGGAGGGGGAGCGAGAGAGAGTGATTGAGTGCGCCGACCCCTGGCCCCCAGGGACGGTGCTGCCTGTGATGGGTTTGACATGGGGGCTTGTCTCTGTGGGGCGAGCCTGACAGGGGGAAACTTGCGCTTGCCTCTCCCTCAACCTCCTCCCCACCCAGCTGCTGAGCAAATCCCCACCTCGGCTACAACCCTTGCTAGAGCCTTGGCTTCCATCCCCGAGGCGCCAGCGCCATCTGGTGTCTATGCAGGGGAGCTCTCCACCTGGCCGAAGACGGGGTTGCTTTCGGGGAGGCAGTAACTGCTTGTTAGTGTCCTTTGCGTTCCCGGGCACTGGGCCAGGTGCTGGGGACACCAGACAGGCTGACCGTTCCTGGGCAGCATAAACTCTATTGGGGGGTGGGGGAAGATGAACATTGAACTAGGAGGCAAACAGATAAACAATATCACCCCAGGCCTTTTTAAAAAATTTTTAAAAAAAGATTTTATTTATTTTTTAAGGAGAGGGGAAGGGAGGAAGAGAGAGGGAGATAAACATCGATTGGTTGCCTCTTGCACACCCCCAATCAGGGACCCAGCCTGCAACTCAAGCATGTGCCCTGACTGGGAATTGAACCTGCGACCTTTAGGTTTGCAGGTCGACCCTCAACTCACTGAGCCACACCACCCAGGGCTCCTCTTAGGTCTTGATAAGTACTTTGAGCAAAGCAACAAACAAGTTGATTGATGGGTGGAGGGTGAAACTATGAAACGTGTGTGTGATATATGAGTGTGCATATGAGGAAGAGACACTTAAGCTGAGGTTTAAAAGATGAACAGCTAGCTCTGGCTGGTGTGGCTCAGTGGATCGAGTGCTGGCCTGCAAAACCAAAGGGTCACCAGTTTGATTCCCAGTCAGGGCACATGCTTGGGTTGTGGGGCCAGGTTCCCAGTAGGGGGCACATGAGACGCAACCACATGCTGATGTTTCTCTCCCTCTCTTTCTCCTTTCCAGTCCCCTCTCTAAAAATAAAATAAATACGGAGGGACCTGCATGGACAAGGAAGGCCCAGATCTGGCAGGAGAGATTGGCATGTCACATGGGGACTTTCAGTTAGGGAAGGAGTCTGGCTGTATTCTGCAGGAAATGGAAAGTCATTGTTGGAGGCCGGCAGGTGACTTGTTTTGGAAGGAGCGCTCTGGCTACTGTGTGAGTGGCCTGGAGTCAGAGGCAAGGATGGACGAAGGGAAACCAGTTGGGAACGTACTGCCATGGCCAGCTGGGAGATGATGGTAGAAGAAATGCAATGTGGAAGGAAACTGGATACATTCTAAATAGATTTCAGAAGTAGAATTGGCCAAGACAGCTGCTGGTGAGGGAGAGGAGGTTTCAGGGATTCTGACCTAAGAAATTTTGTGGATAGTGGGGGCCTTTATTCAGAGGAGAAGAAAGGTGTGTGTGAGGGAGGCAGGATTTGGGAAGATGTCGAGTTCTGCTATTGATTTGTTAACATGGAGATGCCTTTTAATCATCTCAGGGAGGATACCAGTAGAAAAGATGGAGCTCAGGTGAGAGGCTGGGCTGTGGATTGATGGCTGGAATATAGGACAGGGCCCTCCGGTGACCCTGACGGGGGGCGGGGGAGGGGAGACAGGGAACCCTAAGCATAAGGAGTTGTCTCAGCCGCTCCTTCCATCTCCCCTTCTCTTCTCTCTCACACCCCACCCCCACCCCCGTCCCCAGGTCTATACTCGTTATGGGAAGTGTTATACTTTCAACGCAGACCCGCGAAGCTCCCTTCCCAGCCGGGCGGGGGGCATGGGCAGTGGCCTGGAGATCATGCTGGACATACAGCAGGAGGAGTACCTTCCCATCTGGAGAGAGACAAGTACGTAGGCGGGAAAGGGACAGGGCCGACCTGGGGGTTCTGGCCTGGGCCGCCTGCCTGGGGTGGCTGTTTAAAGCTCCCCTTCTCCACTGTGTAGACGAGACGTCGTTTGAGGCTGGCATCCGAGTGCAGATCCACAGCCAGGAGGAGCCCCCCTACATCCACCAGCTGGGCTTCGGCGTGTCCCCAGGCTTCCAGACCTTTGTGTCCTGCCAGGAACAGCGGGTGAACACCTCCAGCTGGGCATCGGGCTGGGCCCAAGGCAGGGCCTTTGGGTTAGAGGGATGCCGACCAGACCTGTCTTCCCAAAGCTCACAGCCCGGCAGTCCAGCCATGGACTTCGCTGGGGCTGCGAGCACTGGAGGGCTGGGGGGGACTCCTGGGCATGACCATCATACCCACCTCTGCAGCTGACCTACCTGCCCCAGCCCTGGGGCAACTGCCGAGCGGAGAGTGGGCTCAGGGAGCCTGAGCTTCAGGGCTACTCGGCCTACAGTGTGTCTGCCTGCCGGCTGCGCTGTGAAAAGGAGGCCGTGCTTCAGCGCTGCCACTGCCGAATGGTACACATGCCAGGTGGGCACCCTGCCTCCCCACTAACCCTCCGTGCCACGCTGCCAGGCTCCAGAAGCTCCAGGAGCAGAGCACTGCTCATGTGCATGAGCAGGTGCATGTGTGCAACATGCGTGCATGTCTATATCCATGTGAGTGTACTTGTGTCTGGGATTTTATGCACGTTTTACAATACGCATGTGGAATGCATGCATGCATATGTATTTATGCCAACACATGCCCATGTATACCTGTACCTGTGTACTTGTGGGGGGTTTGTGCATATGCTTGAACATGTACATATGCATTTGCATATGTACATTTTCATGCTTATATGCACGAGCATGTACACAGTCATGCCTGCATGTGTATGTGCAAACATGCCCATTTGGGGCATGTGCGTGTGCGTGCATGAGTGTGCCCACATTTGGGAATGTGGTGGGAGATTGGGGATCGAACCCTAGACTCCAGGAATAATCTTCTCTCCTTTTAGGCAACGAGACCATCTGCCCACCAAATATCTACATTGAGTGTGCCGACCACACACTGGGTCCGTGCTGCCTGCTCCCTTTTCTGCCTCTCCCTCACCCTCCTCTTCACCCCTCTGTCCACCCTTCTCCTAACTGCTTTGGCTCTCCTCCTCCCAGCCTCCCCCTGAGGGGTTCTTCCTGGGGCTTGAGACTTATCCCATACCTCCAGGGGTCTGAGGACCTTTGCAGGTGTGGACGTTTGGTAAGTGGAGGCAGCAGGGTGAGGGGCTGCAGAGAATCCAGGCTTCCTGTCTTGGTTCAGCAAATACGCTGGCCTTTCTGGGGAGGTGAAATGACTCCTTTCTTGGTGCGAGGAAAAATGCTTTGCTGGCTCTCAGTGTGGGTAAGGCAGACCCTATTTGTGCATAGGTCCTGTCTGATCTGCAATTCATTCACCCATTCATTCATTCATTGTACAGGTACTTACAGCCTGTGTGAGTGCTGGAGGCAAGAGGGGGCGGGCAAGAGGGGGAACAAGAGCCCTGCCCTTGTGGAGCTCTCTGCTGGGCAAGGCTGTGGACAGGCATCACAACAAAGTGTGTTCGTCCTTGGGTAGCAGAAACTCAGGGATCCTGCAAGGCCCTAGGGCAGGGCATGCAGCACCCCTGGGAAGGCGAGAGGATTCCTAGATGTAACAGGGTCACCCAGGTAAAAGGGGAGTGTGTTCTAGACCGTAAGAACAGCACATACTAAAGACCTTGTGGCCAGGAAGAGCATGTGTCAAGCGCATTGCAAGATCTGTGTGGCTGGGGGGCAGAGAACACAGGAGGGGGAGCGGAAGAGTGGGGCAGGGGAAGAGTAGAGGAGGCCCTGGGAAGCCAACGGTGGCTGAAGGCAAGGCAAGAACACTCTCTGATTTTAGGAAGGTGACTCTGACTAGATGTAGGGAGTGTGAGACTAGAAGCAGGGTGACTGGTAAGAAGATCGTTGCAATAATCCAGATGATGGAGCTGTGGGAGGAGATGCTGAGGCCATAGTATCACATGGAGACCTTCTGTTCCGCACACCAACTGCGCCAATCAAAGGGGTGATCGAAGAGTGTCTAGTGAAGGAACAGATGTGTGAGCGGGGATAAGTGAACCACAAGGGGTGGTGAGACTCCACAGGACTAGCAACACCGGGGGGCTTTACTCCCCCAGGCCTGGATGGGGACAGGAAGGGGCCCTACTGGAGCCCAGAGAGGGAGCTTTGGCTGTCCGAGAGGCCCATGGATGGGAGGTGCGGGCACGAGAGGAGCAATGAAGCCTCTGCCAACTACAGCCTGGCAGTAAGGAGGCAGGCAAAGCAACACCCTGGTATCTCTCCCCTCCTTGCCTTCTGGTCCTGCTGGGGCCTCCCATTGGCCAAGCCAAACCCGAAGCCAGAAGACGAAGGAGTCTAGGTGACACATTTGCCAGAGCTCAGCCTGCTGGCCACAGAGAAAGGCAGAGGAGAGTGGAGGGTGGATCTAAAGGGGTAAACAGAGAAAACCCAGCATACTGAGCATATGAATCCTGTCCATCCACTTTTGTCTGTCCGTCTGTCGGTCCATCCACCCATCCACTCATACACCCACCCATTCATCCCAGCATCCACTCCAGGTCCCTCGTGTGTCTGAGGCCTCATGCATTTGATCAGCTCTGGTAGAGAGGCCATGCCCTGCCTCTGAGCCATGAGGACCTCCCTGCCCTAGGGAGCTGGGGAACAGAGGGGACAAGCCTGTGGGCGGGTGCCTGGGACTTTTGTCTTCACCTGCTTTCTTGGATAGTCGGAAGCTGGTCCAGGAAGGGACTGCCATCCCGTGTCCTCTGGGCAGCACCAGGACTGGCCAGTGAAGGCCCTCAGTGCGGACATGGCTGCCTCAGGACAGCCTCTGCGGCTGGCGGGCCTCTGGGCCACCCAGCCCTCCCCCCACCCCTCTGCAGTTGGCACCTCTGTGTTGCAGACTCCCTGGGTGGGGGCTCCGCGGGCCCATGTTTCTGTCCTACTCCTTGCAACCTGACCCGCTACGGGAAAGAGATCTCCATGGTCAGGATCCCCAACAGGGGCTCAGCTCGGTACCTGGCCAGGAAGTACAACCGCAATGAAACCTACATACGGTATGTGTGTGCGTGTGTGCATGTGCGTGTGTGCGTGTGTGGTGGCGGAGGCCACCCTCAACAGGCCTGGTGTGTGGCGGAGACAGGGCGTAGGGTGCACCTTTGTTAATAAAGCGTCTTCTGCCAGGAAGGCTTTTCACAGCCCTTTTCTCCTAACTAATTCCTACCCATCCTCCAAATCTCATTCTTTGTCTCCGCCTCCAAATGCCTTTCATTTGAGCTCCCACAGCACCCTGTACCTATCTCCGTCTTCCCATGTACCCCCTGTTGTAGAACGCTCTGTTTGTGCCTCTCGCTCCTCCAGCGACCTGGGGCTGTTAAAGGCACGTTGAGTGAATGCCGCGCTGAGGGAGGGAAATCGGAAGGGCTGGGAGAGGAATGCGGTGGCCGGAACGCTGGGCCCGGTCCAATGCCGCCAGTCTACAAACGCTGGGCAGCCTCTGAGGGCCGGGCCTGGTGCTGGGTCCTGTGGGGACAGAGTTGATTACGGCACAACACCCATGTATGGAGTGGCCCACGTGCGGCTGTGCAGTACTGCTTCTCAGGCCCCGGGAGGGGTGGATGTGCATAGGGTAGGGGAAGCCGGGGAGGTGTGAGCTGGGCCTCCGAGGACCCTGGGGCTGTGAGAGGAAGAGAAAGGAGGAGAGGGGGAGGCATCCCCGTTAGGGAGCTGTGGGATGGTGTGGAGACTGGTCCGAGTGGGGGCGGGGATGGGATGCAGGTAAGAAAGCAGCTTGGATGGGAAGCACAGTGCAACAGATCATGGGGCAGCCTTGGGAGTGTGGAAGGAGAATTTTGGAGTGCACTGTTGGGCAGAGGGAGCCACTGAAGGTTCTAGGGAGGTATAGGGATGAGGAACATGAATGCTCTTTGCTGCTTTAGAGGAGAAGGTAGGCGGGAAACTGCAGGCCTAGGCTTTTTTTTTTTTTTTATTTTTTTTTTTGCTTTCCCAGACCTTTTGCTAACCCTGCGTGTGAAGCGAACACACTTCTGGGACTGCATCCCCTCACAGCCTTCAGGAGTCTGAGGGAGTCACCAGCTTCCCTGCACAGGGGGTCTTGGGTCAGCACTGCTGGACCTGGGGTATCCCTGCCAGCCACCCCTCGGGGAAGATGGTCTCATGTGGACACCCTGCTTCCTGTCTCCGCAGGGAGAACTTCCTGGTCCTAGATGTCTTTTTTGAAGCCCTGACCTCTGAGGCCATGGAGCAGCGAGCCGCCTACGGCTTGTCAGCCCTGCTGGGTGAGACCTGGCCCAGATTCAACGGGCATGGTCAGAGAGGCCTGCTCCTTCTGACCCTGCTCTCATGCTCCCCAGGAGACCTCGGGGGACAGATGGGCCTATTCATCGGGGCCAGCGTCCTCACGCTGTTGGAGATCCTCGACTACATCTATGAGGCAAGGACGGGGCCTGTCTAGGGCCACCCACACGGAGAGATGAGGATGGGAGGAGGGGCTATGGGAAAGGCAAAGGGGCAGTGTGGACCTCCTGGTGGAGCCGGTCTGGCTGGGAAGGCAAGCTCTGGCTTCTTTGCCAGGGTCCCCTGGCTAAGTGGAAGGCCTGAGGGTTCTGAGAAGTCTGGAGAAAGGGAGGGGGAAGAGGACTGGGGAGTCCCACTGGGGGTCTGCTGGGCAGCAAGTCCTATAAGGTGGGCCTGGTTAGTCTGCCCCCTCCTCTACCAAGTTTCCTGAGCCCGCAGCTACCCCCCAACCCTGAACCCCAAGGTGTCCTGGGACCGACTGAAGCGGGTGTGGCGTCGTCCCAAGACCCCCCTGAGGACCTCCACTGGGGGCATCTCTACCTTGGGACTGCAGGAGCTGAAGGAGCAGGTGAGGATGAGCTCTGCAGGGCACGCGGCCAGCACCTTCTCCCAGGACTGGGTATCCCTCATGATTTCCGTACCAGCTTGTGAGAGGGGTTCCTGGGCTCCCCTGGAGCCTCTGCCCCACGGACAAGCGAAGACTGGCTGTATGAGGCTTGGAGGCATGGTTTGAACTCTCCCTCTCCACCTTGCAGAGTCCCTGTCCAAGCCGGGGCCAGGCTGAAGGTGGGGGAGCCAGCAACCTGCTCCCCAACCACCACCACCCACATGGCCCCCCAGGAGGCCTCTTTGAAGACTTCGCTTGCTAGGATGATGCTGTGTCTGAAAGGACCCAAGTCCGGGACTCCTCCCTGGATCTCCAACATAGTCTCTCCCTGCTCCTGGGACAGAAGGCCTGGGGGCAGCCCAAGGCCAGGGGAGGGGGGAGAGGGTGGTGGTGCTCACAGGAGAGAGACTCAGTTCCTGTTCTCACCAACTGTGGCAGCAGCTACTTCGCACAGTGGTTCTTTTTATCCCTACTCCCCTCCTGAGGCGGGCGCCCAGGGAGGGCTGGAGATCAGGCCATGGGCCCCCGGGGAGGGGAGAGGGGAGAGGGGAGAGGGGAGAAGGGAGGGAGGTGGAGAAAGCGGCCCACCCCAGAAGGGGTGGAATCCTCTGTATATTTGTACATATTTAGGGAGGACAGGGTGGGGATGGGGGTACAGATATAGAAGGTGGGTGGGGCTATGGGGGTGGGTGATTCAGGGACAGCCGGGGTCCCAGTCCTAGGGTGTCAGCAGGAGAGGGCGGGCTCCCAGGAGTCAGGGCTGCTGGGCTTCTCCCACTTCCTGCCTCTCTCCAGGCCCAGCTCCTTGTTTGGCAAGGGGAGCGGGTGGCCCAGCAGGCCTGGCCCAGCTCCCGGTCCCCCTGCCCTATCCCCACCCCTGGCATCCCCTCCATAGGGAGCAGACAGACCTTTCAGACCCTGGCTGGGTTTGGGGGTGGGGAAGAAAGTCTTCTCAGGCCTCTGTCTCCAGTCTGGTTTTATAAAGTGCTGACGAAATTAGGAATAAAGAGGCATAAAGAATTCTCTGTGTGTATGTGTGGCCAAGCTGGGAGCTCAGGCAGGGCTGGGCATATGCATGACTTGCTCCCTGGGAAAAGGAAATCCAGGCCCAGCCAGGACAGGGAGCCTCCATCTGCACTGCCAGCCTTCCCTGCTCCCTGCCTACCTTTCAAAAACTCAGAATCACCAGTCCACACTCAGCCAGTTTATTAAAGGCAGAGAGCTTCATCAGGGGTCCAGAAGGGAGAAGCTGGGAGCCACCCTACACTCCTCTCTCAGCTCCCCCCTTCCCCAACAAGTCATCTACAGCCCCGCCCCCGGGTCATGGAGGCAGGCCTGGCGTCAGGCAGACTGCACTACATAAATACTGAGGCCACAGCTTGAATCAGCAGCGTCTGCGGCAGGGATTTGGGGCGGGAAGGGGTGGCTCCCAGGGCACCTCCCGCAGGGCTTGTCCTGAGCCTGAGGACCCACAAGCCGGAGAGAGGGGGCCAGTGGGCTGTCCTGAAGTCTGAGGCTGTCCAGGGGGGCTGGCAGGTGGCTCTGGGTGGTTGGGGGAGGAGCACCGCCAGGCCAGCGTTTTGGGGTGCAGGGTGGGGTCAGGTGCTGTTGCCCTGCTCCTGTTCAAAGAGCAGCATGGCGAGCTGGGTGCGGGAGCCCAGGCCTTCCAGCATGCTCTGGCGACAGCGGTGGTACAGGTCCTCGCTGAGCCGAGCGCTGCACGTCTGGGCCCGGTAGCGCTGCAGCAGCGCCGGCTCTACTGCCCGCAGCACGTGCAGGCTGGAGAAGCGCAGGAACAGCTCGTACACATCCATGCTCTCCAGGAGCTCCTCCTCCTGCTCCGAGGCCGCCGCCAGCCGCCCTCGGGCTGCCACATAGTCAGAGTTATAGAAGCAGGCCTCACTGGCTGCCTGGCGGTCAAAGCGGCCCGTGTCCCGGCCCAGCTCCGGGGGCCCTGGGCCCTGCGGTGGGGCCACAGCTGGGTGGAAAGCCTGGAAGTGCATGGGAAAGAAGGTCTGCCAGCCAGAGATGGCGTGCATGCGGCAGCGGTTCAGAAAGTCAGGCGTGAGCACCGTGTCTGGCCCGGCCAGCAGGAACAGCGTATCCAGCGGGTGCTTCTTGGAGAGCAGATCCATGAGGCGCAGTGGCGAGGGGGCGGCTGTCTGCACACTGAGCCAGGGGACCCGGGCACCAGGGAATCGCTGCTCTAGCTCTGCCACATGGGCCTTGACAGGTGCAAAGACATCTGCATGGGCAGCCCGCTGGGCCTGTCGTGGCTCATACAGTAGCAGCAGGGTTAAGGCTGCTGCGGTATCACCAGGCTCCAGAGCTGCAGTGGCGAAGGCCTCCAGGAAGCCAGGGGCCAGGTCACGCTCGGCCGCAGCCAGAGGCAGTAACACAGTGAGACGCGAGGCCTCGGTGACGTAGGGCACAGGCAAGATCTCCACGCGGCTCAGTGGCCGCAGCAGCTGCACTCGGTGGGTGAGAGGCCGGCGGCCACCCTGGGGGGTCAGCGCCTCCAGCTGCAAATCCAGTGTGTACTCCATACCCCGAGCGGGATCGAAGCGTCGGTAGCCATTAACCAACTGCTGCTTCTGGAGCCGCAGGGCTGGGTGGTAGCGACGGTTGAGCTCCTCCAACGCTGCCCCCAGAACGTCGGCCACGTCAGCCCGGTCAGCCCCACGCAGAGGGCAGCGGGGCGAGCCATCGGCACAGGAGAAAGCGTGCTGCTCAGTGAAATAGTCCCAGCGCAGCACCTCAAAGCGGGAGGCTGGGCGGGATGGTGCTGGAATGCCCACGGGCCAGGCGGCTGCCCGTTCCCCATCAGCGGCCAGGCGGCTGGTGTTCTGGATCTCCCACTGGGTTGGAGAAACAGACCATGAGCGAGGCACAGACCCCAGGGGCCAGCACACAGCTGGGGGACGGGGCAAGCGGCAGGTGCCACTGAGGATGGGTCCTGAACTCTGCAAACCTCTGCCCTCCCAGGGCTCCTACCTATCCTTTCCCCAGGTGGAGGCAGCCTGAGAGTTAAAAGGGGGGCTTTATGGAGGGGCTTCTCAGAATGGATAGAAATGAATAGGGACAGAGGCAGGTGTTTTCCAGTTCTAGCATTCATATTTTACCTCCCTGGGATCTCTAAGGCCTCACAGGGGCTGCCCTCCCACCCCCTGGCCCAGACCATACCTGCAACTCCTGGATCTCCTGGTATGTGCGCTCCAGCTCAGCTCGGGCAAAAGCCTTGTGCAGCTGGTACATGTGCACAGGGTCACGCACAGGGTGAGCGGTCAAAGCGCTGCGGAAACGAGGGTCCCCCTCCTGCACGGGCTCCCCAGAGCTCAGCTCCAGGTAGCTATAATGTACTCCCTGGGGAGAGGAAGGGAAGGGGTCCATAACAGGAAGAATGATGGAATAGCTTCTCCCCTCACCTCATAGTACGTGTCTCATCTGCCCATCCTGTGACCTGTTGTAGACTTGCAGTCAGAATCCTCTGGGTTTCAGTGCCTTGACCAGTTAGGAGCTTGTGCGACCTTGGGGCAGCCTTTGCTAGCTAGCTCATCAATGGCATGGGCATGCATCTGATGTCAGAGCTGTCCAGGGGCTTAAACAAAATAGAAATAGCTAATACTGAATACCTATTATATGCAAGCCTTCCTTATTTTTCTAATCCTTAAAACAACCCTAAGCAATAATTATTTCCATTGGTATGGATGAAGATACTGATGCTCAGGAGATTCAGTAATTTACTCAAGGTCACAGGGATAGAAAAGGACAGAACTGGCATGGAGACCCAGGCCTGTATCTCCAACCACACCTTTGCCTCTCAGGGGAAGGGCACAAGTTCAGATAGGAGGCACCAGTGGGGTGGCTTATCTTCTCACTTCTCACCTCGTGGTCACCGGTGCAGCCCACCCCTGTGGCATCGAGGATGCAGCGTCCCAGCCACTCGTCGGGACGTGCACTGACGATGTCATTCCGGCAGCCTTCCAGGTGGGGGCGCAGCTGCTGCAGCAGAGTGCGAGACAACAGTACCCCAAAGCCACCATGGCAGTAGCGGCCTGGAGCAGGCTCTCCACCGATAAAGTCCTGGGGCCGGCCCAGATAGAGGTGGGCAGCAGCTGCCAGGCTGAGGTGGCCAGCGAGGCGCGCCAGTCCGTGTGCCTCGGTGTAGGTGGTATCATGCACTAGGAAGAACCAGTCAAAGTCGTCACCATGCTGCTCCAGCAGGTGGCGCAGTGCCAGGTGCAGGTGGCCGATGGGCCTCTCCTCGCCCAGCGTCACCACGGCCATGCCCGGTGGTGCCCGACGACCTCGAGAGCCTGTCAGGAACACCACACGCTCTAGCCGGTGCCCCAGCGTGCGGTTCACGGCCACGCCCAGAGTGGGCAGCGTGGCCTGTGAGGTCAGCACTGCCACCAGCAGCCTCTGCCTGATGCCCAGCTCGGTGCTGATGTAGCGGGTTCTGGGGAGGAGACAGCACAAGATTATCAGAAAGGCAATCGGGGTGGGCAGGAATAGGGTAAGTATAACAACTCTCTCCCAGGGGAGAAAGATAGGTGTTTTGGGGAGATGGCAATATTCATGCATATATGGAAGATATATTGTGGGTCTGATTCCCTGTTTCACTACTTAGCAGTTGTGTCCTTGAGTAAGTCATTTACCCAATCGGTGCCTCAGTAGCCACATCTGAAAAATGGGGTTGCTTATAGCTACCTAAAGCCCTTAGGCAAATGCTTGGCTCATAGGTACTCTACACACCATGTATACCAGGACTTATTTCTGTGTAAATATGCCATTGTACCACAAATACATTACATAAATGATGTAATGGAATATATGGCATAGGGGGTGTATTGAGTGTGTTTGGGGGAGGGGCAAACTGGAGCTCAGGAGTTCCAGTAACCTGTCTTCCCTAACACAGAAGGTACATCGCAGAACTGGAATATGAACTCGGTGTTACTTAGGAGAAATTGCTTTAACTCATGGACAGAGTCATTAGTGGAATGGCTACATGACTCCTCTCTCACACATCTCATCACGAGCTGTCCCACCCAGGAACACGAGATACAAGTAAATCTCAGTTTTCTCTTCCTTCTTTCCCCGTCTCTATAAACCCATTTTATATACCAATAATTTCTCTAAATCCAACAGCCCAGCCAGGGAGCTAAGAGGATCTCTGGGGGACTACGGAGTCGAGCTGGTGTAGCACAGAGGCGGACAAGTTCAGCCCAGGCCGGACGGGGCCCGGAGAGGGCCTCAGATGGGCTCCACAGCTCCTCGGGAAGCAGAGCCATCGGAAGTTATCCGGGCCCAAAGACTTCCTGGCCGGCCAGTCTCTTCCTTCCGGAGCCTGACCCGGCCCTTGGCGGCCTCCCCAGAGCGCCCGTCCCCGCCGGTGCCCACGGGGTGGAGCTGGCGGGGCTGATCCCTACCTGACGGCCTTTTTGGCGGCCTGGCCAGGCTGTGCAGGGTGGTAGGGCAAGACACGCGGCTCCCAGTTCTCCCCAGCGTCTGAGCCAGCCCCGGGTCTCTCGCGCTCCGCTCCGTGCTGCACAGAGTTGGGCCGGCGCGCCGCATTGGTGTTGCCTCGCGGCGGCAGCTCAGAATCTCCGGGTTGGGGCGGCCCTGGGCCGCACGGCTCCTCCACCCAGGTGACGCTGAGCAGGCTCAGCGTGAAGCCCAGGGAGATGCCCACGGCCACGGGCCCTGCGGGCCGCAGCACCGACAGCAACAGCGATGCCCGCATGGCGCCCGGACCGCGGGCCCCCGGCCCGGGAGCAGCCCCAGAGCAGCCAGAGGAGGCTCCGAGGGGGCGGGACCGGGGAGGGGGCGTATCCGGAGGGCCCGGGCCAAGCGGGCGGGCCCGCTCCCGCCCCGCGGAGCAAAGCCCGCGGCCCGAGCCGAATCCCCTGCTCCGCGCTCCAATCCCCCTCCGGTCGCCGCTCTGTGTCGCTCAGGGTTCCTGCTTTGGGCGCGGGAGCCTCCGCCGCTGCCGCCGCTGTCCGACGTGTCACTGCGAGGGCCCCGCCCCCGGGGTGGGGTCTTGGGCTCTAGCTACCGGAGAGGGAGGAGTAGGGGGAGGTTAAAGGGGAAGGACCCCCGGAAGTGCCCCCTCCACAGCGAGGGAGAGGGAGACGTCGGGGCGGAGTCCCCTACCTCCCCCTGGCGTGGTTGGTGCGTCCCGGATGACGTCAGAAGCAGCCCGCCCCTGCCTGGCTAGTGCGCCCGAGTGACGTCAGGAGCCGAGGCCGGAGCTGTCCATCAGCACCAAAGGCCGCGGGCGGGCTCAGGGCATGGGGCCGCGGCTCTGGGGCAGCCCAAGCCCCTGCTCTCGCTCCTTACCCTTCCCCAGGCCCCGCCCGAGTCCCCGGACGCCGTGGGACTGGAGTGCCAGTCGGTGTGGGAGGCGGGGCGGCGACGCCGCCGCGCAGAGACTGGTCCCTTCGGCCCAGCAGCCGCCTTCCCCGCACGACGGACTTTTCCCGGACCCCAGGCAGCTGGGCCCTCTGGCGCCCCGCAACCCCGGACCCTACAGCCACTGCGCAGCCTCTTTCACTCAAAAGCTCAGGTCGCCTCCAGCTCAGGTAGATTTTGGACAATCCCGGATTTAGCCGCCCACAGACGAGCGTCCTGGCTGCCTCCTCACCGGCAGCACAGTGCCCTCATCTCCCCCCACGCCAGTTCCCCTTTTAACTTCTTCATCCTGGCCCCCTCTAGCCAGGCACTTTTGTTCCCTTTGTCTTTTGTCCTCCACTTTAGGGATGCCTGCTGTGGGCACCACTCCTTTGTCCGGTGTGTCCTTGCCTAGTTCTCCCACTCCCGTTCTTGCCCCATTCTGGTGGAGACCCAGGACGCCTCCTTGACTCCAACTTCTCTCTGTTAGGCTGACCTGGGAGGGTGAGTCCCTTTCGTTCCTAGAACTATGTCAGGCACTGTGGCGACACTGCGGTTCCAGCTGCTGCCCCCTGAGCCAGATGATGCCTTTTGGGGTGCACCCTGTGAACAGCCCCTGGAGCGCAGGTACGAGGCACTGCCGGCCCTCGTCTGCATCATGTGCTGTCTGTTTGGAGTCGTCTACTGCTTCTTCGGTGAGACCCCCAACTCATCCCTTACCTGGGCTTCCCATTGTTTCCCTAAGTTATTTTCCTGAGGCACCCCAAATCTCCAGAACTTCACCACCACCACCACCACCATCACCACCACCACCATCGCCTCCACCACCACCACTACCTTTTCTTACTTTCCTTCATCCTACATGTGCCTAGATCATCTACTCTAGATCCTAGAAAACACAGGGTTTCTTGGAATAAGGCGTGCTTCAGTTTGAACCTGGCTTTGTACCTTACTAATTGTGATGCCTTCTTGGGCACATTAACCTCTCTGAGCCTGTCTTCTCATCTGAACAGTGGGAACAATGATATTTACCTCACCTAGTGTTGTTATGAGAATTAGTAGGGACTCAATAAATAATAGCTATTGCGGTAAACATGTGTTTGGGTCGCTGCGCTAGGTAGGAAATGAAAACACTTAGCAGGGTGATTAGACATGGTCCCTTACCACAAAGTATAGATGGGGGAGGGACTTCTGGAATATTCACATCTGTGATATGTGTTATAGCTGACCCTTGAATAACACAAAGGTTTGGGGTAGAGTTGGAAATCCACATGTAACTTAAGTTGGCCCTCTGCACCCACAGATTCCCAACCAGGGACCCCAAATACTGTTTTCAGTTTGCAGTCAGTTGAATGTGTGCATGTTAAACCTGGGCATATGGAGGGCTGACTGTATATTTACTGAAAATATCCATGCATAAGCGGACCCGTGAAGTTCAAACTTATGCTGTACAAGGGTCAGCTGTAGAGTAGGCGAGATGGTCGTCACACACGTGGAGAGTGCCTACAAGGTAGGCTCCAACAATCAGGGCTGCCCTGAAGAGTCGTACAACATGGCTACTGTACAAGGGAGTTCAGGTGCATAGGCAAGCGGGGCCTGAAATCCAGCCCATGCTCCAGTTGTCAAACTCTAGGCCTTGGCACTGGGCTACTTTGCTTAGGAGAAGGCACGCCTTTTTCTAATGTGCACAAAGGTGCCAGATGGACCACTGGAGTGAGTGCCCAGTGACTCTAAAGCAAGAGTTACAGAGCTTCAGGGAGGAGAGCAAGCTCTCTTGGCTGGAGGCCCAAGGAGAGCCTCCGGGAGGTGCATTAGAAGTGACTGGAAGAAGTGCAAAGGAAGTTTGGAGGTCTGGGTTCCAGGCTTCACAGGGGTGGGGCGGGATTTGTGCTCTGATGCCTCTACACCTCCCCCTAGAGTGGCTGGGTAGTAGGCAGGAACGGGAACCAGATGGCTCTTTTCTTTCCACCCCCAAGCTCTTGGCTGAACGACTGCAGAGTGGGCAGAAAAAGTGCCCCTCTAAGGGTTCAGAATACATTCTGGGCCTCCAAAGAGTGTGTGTCCCCTCACTCCCGCCCCTGTCCATACCCACTCTCTCTGCAGTTGCTCATCACATCCTGACATTCCCTCTCATGTGCTCCCCTGTCACCTTACTCCTCTTGGAGGCCCCCACTCCCTGGCCCTTGGACCTGAGCCCTTGTGTATGTCCTTCTCCTCTTTCTGACCCCAGAACTTCCTGAATCTCCTCTTTGGCCTTTCTCTTTGGCGCTCCCTGACTCTTACCCCCATCTTCACAACTGATTAGGACCTACGAGTCCCTCACTCTTCCAAGTCCCTCACCCCTAAGGGGCCCAAGAGCCCTGTAACTTCATTTTCCTGGAACTCCACAGCCACTATTTCACCCTGTAATCTTCTTTGACCCCCTGTGGGGGGCCTATGACCCCTTGAAAGCCCTAGTGACTGCCGCCTCAGTTGTCTCATCACTTTTTATCCTTCTGACTCCATTTCTCCTAACTTTCTGATTCCTAGGATCTCATTGCCTGATCACCCCTCCCTGCACTGTGACCTCAATAATCCCATTTCTCTGGCCTCAATATTACTCTCTTTTTGAAACCCTTTAATACTCTCAATGATTTCAGTCTGTCAGTCCCCCTGACCTGCAAAGACCTCATCTCCTGGAACCAGCCTCTAATAACCCTGCTTCCCTGTTCTCTTTGTAACCTTTTAATGGTATCATGTTTCTGAAGCCTTGTGACCCCTCCAAGACCTTGTCTTTATGAACCCGTGTGACCCTCATCTCTCAAATTCTTTCTGACTTCCAAAGGCCTCACCTCCCTGAACCATCCCTCTCCACAGACCCCAATGAGTCTATTGCGGATCCCCTTATGACCCCAGTGACCTATTTCTCTGACTCCTATGACTCCAAAGACTCCAGTGACCCATCACAGATTCACTCTTGACTCCAATGACCTATCTCTGACTCCTCTAACCCTCAAAGACCCAACGTTCGTTTCAATGACTGTCTCTCTCTTTTCCAAATGACCCCTAGTGACCTCTCTCTGACCTCCCTTGACCTCAGTAGCCCCATCACTGGTGCCCTCAGGACCCCGATGACCCCTGATTCTCTTATCTGTGTCTTGCCTCTGGTTCCTCTGTGATTCCATGTTGCCGGCCCCTCAGACTCCTTGCCTCCATCCCGGTGACCTCATGTTGGCCCTCACTGGCCCCTGTTCCCCTCTAGGTTACCGCTGCTTCAAGGCAGTGCTCTTCCTCACTGGGTTGCTGTTTGGCTCAGTGGTCATCTTCCTGCTGTGCTACCGAGAGCGGGTGCTGGAGACACAGCTGAGTGCCGGGGCGAGTGCAGGCATCGCGCTGGGCATCGGGCTGCTGTGCGGGCTGGTGGCCATGCTGGTGCGCAGCGTGGGCCTCTTCCTGGTGGGGTTGCTGCTCGGTCTGCTGCTCGCCGCTGCCGCCCTGCTGGGCTCCGCGCCCTACTACCAGCCCGGCTCCGTGTGGGGCCCACTGGGGCTGCTGCTGGGGGGCGGCCTGCTCTGCGCCCTGCTCACGCTGCGCTGGCCCCGCCCGCTCACCACTCTGGCCACCGCTGTGACTGGTGCCGCACTCATCGCCACCGCCGCGGACTACTTTGCTGAGCTGCTGCTGCTGGGGCGCTACGCCGTGGAGCGGCTGCGAGCCGCCCCTGTGCCTCCCCTCTGCTGGCGGAGCTGGGCCCTGCTGGCGCTTTGGCCCCTGCTCAGCCTGATGGGTGTTCTGGTGCAGTGGAGGGTGACGGCCGAGGGGGACTCCCACACGGAAGGTGAGAGGGCGCTGACCAGGGTGGGCATAAGAGAAATGGGGGCGGGGCGGTGAGCAATTCGGGAGTCGGAGAAGCTGTACACACAGGCGGTGGAAGGTCTCAAGAGGGTTAGAGCGGTGACTCGCTCCTGCTCTGGGATGATAGGACCTCATGGGTACTATTCATTCCACTACAATGTGTGGAGCAGCAGCTCAGCGCTGAGCCCATTCCACAACTGGAGAGATCGCAGAGACAAGACAGGAAAAGTCCCTGGCCCCTATGGGGTTAGATTTGGGTGGGTGGGTGGGGAGACACAGGTTACAGACATACAAACACGATAATTCTAGTTGTGCGGTGATATGAAAGAGATATGCGGGTAATATGAGTGACCTGGCCTCCTGAGGTTATTGTAGACAGGGTGCTCAAGGAAGGCACTTGGAAGAGGTGACATTTAAGAAGAGTCCCTAAAGATAAAGAACCAGCCTTGCAAAGGGCTAGAGAAAAGGGCGTAGCAAGGGTGGGGGCCCAAGGAGGAATGGGCGTGGCTTGCTGAGGAAGTGAGGCTGCACTGTGGTGGCTGAGGGTTCCTGATTGCGTGGGCCCTCTGGGCCACCACCAGGACTCCAGGATTTTATTAGAGGGCAGTAAGATGCTGTTGGAGGTTTAAAGCACGGAGGATACGATCACATTTAGCATTTGGGATGCTCATTATGGCTGCTGAGTGCAGAAAGCACTGGGGGAGGCAAGCGTGGAAGGGAAACCAGTGAGGACGCAGCTGTGGTTGTCTGGTGGATAGATGATCATGGCTGGTCTCGGGGAGTCACCTACGACTTAGAGTTGGGAGAGGAATAGCAGCTGGGGAGGGAGGTACCTCCAATTTTAGGAATCTTCCACAAAGACCTTCAGAGGTAAAAACAAAACAAAACAAAACAAAAAACAAAACCAAAAAAAACAATGGAAGTCTCATCTGGGAGGTGGAAGACCAGAAAGGGGGGAGGTTACACTCAAGGGGAATCTGGATGCTTGGAACCCCCAGGCAGGAAGGGTGGGATGATGCACGTGGGTCTCTGAGACCCTTTTCTGCCCATCCCTTCACAGTGGTCATCAGCCGGCAGCGACGCCGTGTGCAGCTGATGCGGATAAGGCAGCAGGAAGAGCGCAAGGAGAAGCGGCGCAAGAAGAGACCCCCGCGGGCTCCCTCCAGAGGCCCCCGGGCTCCTCCAAGGCCCGGACCTCCTGACCCTGCTTATCGGCGCAGGCCAGTACCCATGAAACGCTTCAATGGAGATGTCCTCTCTCCGGTGAGCACTCTGAACCCCTCCAGTCCAAATGGGGGACACGGGATTGTTGTAAACTCTGTCCAAGCAGGACTGGGCTTTCCCCAGGGGCCGGCCACTGTTTAGAAGGCTTAGATTTTGTCCACCCATCATAACCCCTACAGCAGGAGCCTGATGGGTCCAGCTCTGGGATGGGGGAAAGGTGTCTGAGTAAGAGTTTTCACAAGGTAGGGTATGGGGTAGGGTGTCAGGGCTGTGGACTATGAGCGTGATGGGGTCCTGGGCCTATAGCTGTCTGGGGTGAGTCACAGGCTTGTGGGGTTGCAGGGAGGCGGCTCCCAGGGCAGGGGTCTGCGGCTGCACTCACATCTGTGTTTACTCTCCCACAGAGCTATATCCAGAGCTTCCGGGACCGGCAGACGGGGAGCTCGCTGAGCTCCTTCATGGCCTCACCCACAGACACGGACTATGAATATGGGTCCCGGGGGCCACTGACAGCCTGCGCAGGGCCCCCTGTGCGGGTATAGCAGTATGGCTGCTCCAGCCTGCCTGGACTCTGTGGTCACCAGCTCTGTCAGCTTGGGGAGGCCTGCTGGTCCACCACCCAGCCCACTTGGCCCTGTGGCCTACGGCTGTCCCTCTCCCCTCCCTGGAGAGGGCTGGCCTGGCTGCTAGAAGGGAGGAACTGTCTCAGGCTAGGCCCGGCCTGAGGGAAAGCCCCTCCCAAGCTCCCAAGGGGCTCCTGAGGGACGCGAGGTGTGAGCCCCTTTGGGGTGTGCTCAGGGTTGTGAGCGTGTCACCTGTGTGTGCGTGTGCATGGAGGGGTGGGCTTGGAGGAGACACTGGGACCTTGCCTTAGATTTCCGAATGGTAGGGCTTCTGCAAGGTTGGCCCCACCTCCTGTCCCACTGCTGGGGTCCCACGGGCCACTCTCCTGCATGTCTAAGTGGAGGAGGTCTGCCTTCTTCCCCCACTGCTCTGCCTCTCAGCCAGATTCATCCAAGGCTCCTTGTCCTTGTCCACTGCAGCACCCCTCACCCTGGTCCCCTGTCCTCTGCAAAGCCACCAGCCTGAGGGCAGTGGCAGGGGATGGGGGTGGGGGGTGCTACCCTGGGCTGGGTTGGGGAGGGGACCTCGGGGGAGAGGGCTTCAATGCACGATGCATGTCTGGTGTCTGTCATGCCACCCCGGACACCTCATGCTTCTGTCTCCTTCCACCCCACCCTGTTTTACATCTTTTATAAATGTGCCAAACTGTGTGGCTTCTGCCAGGAGTGGTGGTCTTTGATGGCTGGCACATCCATGGGCCAAGTTAGAAGCACTGTAGTTCCTGGGTCCCTGTGTCACTCACTACACAGGGTCTCCCGGCCAGTTCGGCCCTCCTGTGTCACACAAGAGAGCCAGGGAAAGGGGCTGCACCACTTTTATTGTCTCCCAAGTCCTACAGTTCCCCTGCCTCCCCGCCCCTGCCCAGGATAAGGGCATGCGCCTTCCAAGCTGTCCGAGGGCGCCCGCCTGGCCTGGTTCGGTCCTTCTAGCTACCTGCAGAGGAATGACTCCGCGTGGGGCTGGGGAGGGAGCGGGCACGACCTTCCTCCCTGACAGCGCCTGGGCACCCACATAGGAAGAGTGGGGCCCTCAGCCACTGCCCCACCCTTTCTGGGCCTCTGTCAGGGCTGTGTGTGGGGCAGGAAAGTGGGGGCAGGTTAGGGGTTGAGCAAGGCATCTGAAGGGAATGCAGGAATTCAGGTGGAGGGTGGGACATCTCCTCTGTGGGAGCGGAAAGAAATGGGATGAGCTCAGGAGCCTTCTGCCCAGGCTGACAGTGAACTCACAGATGGGCAAAAGCCAGCAGGGAGCAAGAAGGGGGGGAGGGACAGGTAGGGGGCAGAAACCAGGAGCATTGGGAAGGATAGGAACTTGGGTACAAATGGGGTATTCAGGTGAGACAAACATGGTCCAGGGGCAGGAGGGAGAGAGGAGAACACTGGACAGGAAGGGGTGTAGAAAGGTGGGGACAGCTGCTCTGAACCAAGAGGTTCCTGTTGGGAACACAGCTCTCTCCTCTTCTCCTCCTGGGTGACATTTCTGCAACACCGCCCCCCCCCCCCGCCCCTTCTACCTTCAACACATCCCAGAACCAACTTGCTATCCCAAGTCGTGAAAACCTGGGTAGGTGTGTCTCAGCCCATCAGCTCCTAGGTGACCACTTCTGCTTGGCCTGCCCCAGTCGGCTTCACTTACCCTCTACCAGCAGCCGCGTGTGGGCGCTGTCTTCGCCGGCCTGGCAGCAATAGGTGCCTTGGTCCTCAGGTCGTACGTCATGTATGACCAGGCTGTGGGTGGGGCCATGGCTCCGCAGCTCGTACTTGTCTCCAGGACACAGTTCGACCCCCTCCCGCGACCAGCACACGTGGCCCCCGGAGCGGGACACAGTCACCTCCAGCACCGCCCTGCGGCCCGCTAGAACCGTTTTCTCGCGAGGCGGGCGGCGGCACATCTGGAGAGGCAGTGCTGGGGGTGAAGGTCGAGGGCTTAAGTTAATGGGAACACGCAGGACCCCCGATCCCGCCTGGAGGAGAAACGCCTGTTCCCTCCCCCTGCGGCCTCCATCCTGGTCTCAGATTTCTATGCCACAGGCCCTTGACTCTGTACCCTCAATCCAAAGTCCCCTCCTCCCCAGGAAACGCACTGCCCTCTGTGACCTGCCCCAGGAGAGCCCCTCGAGGAAGGGGCTTTCCTAGGACAAGCCGCCAGCCCGCCAGCCCCAGGGAAGGTGACGCCCACTCCAAGCAGCCCTCGCCGCAGTTGCTTACCCTCCACCTCCAGCTCAGCTACGGACTGGGCGGGTCCCGCCTGGAAGCGGACCTCACCCGCATCCTCCGCGCGCAGCTCACTCAGCACTAGAATATGTTTCTTCCCTGAGGAGGAAGGGGGCGCTAGCGAGGCTGGAGCCGCCTCTGGGGCGGGTTCGGGGATGAGGGTGGGGCCGGAATAGGTCCCCTGGTCGATTCGGACGCGGGAGATACGCGCTGGGGGAGGCGAACGGAATTGGAATACCGAGGGCGAAGTGGAGCCGGCCAGGACCGAGGGCTCAGAACTGGAGGCAGCAGAGACAGCGAGACAGCCCTTTGGACCATGGGGCGGGGCCTACTCGAGCTGGGGGTGGGGCTTATTGTAGTGGGGCGGGGTCTGTGGGAGCAGGGGACCGGGCAGCAAGGGGCCCGAACGGGTGGAAAGTCGGCCAGACCTTCCTGTCGGATGCGGACGCGGCCTCCGGGCCTCAGTGGGCGGCCTCCGAGCTTCCAGCTCCCGTTGGTCTCAACCTCCGACACGGTGCACTCGAACGTGGCGCCGTCGCCTTCGCGGGCTCTCACCGACCGGAGCTCGGACAGCACCGAGACCACCCGCTCTGGGGCGGAGCCGGGGGCATGAGGCGGGACAGGCCGGAGCAGGAGGCATCAGCTCCCGTCCCGCCCCTCTCCCAAGAAGCACCCGAGTCAGTCCCTGGGAAAGGCCGATCTGCAGCCCCCAAGCCCACATGAGTGTCCAGCCCCAGCAGCACCCGGTACCCACCGCGCACGGTCAGGCGGACAGGGCCGGCGCGAGCGGTCCCCACCGTGCAGCTGTAGGTCCCGGCGTCCAAGGGGCCGCAGCGCCGCAGCTGGAGAAGGCGCCGCGTGCCGAGGGCCTGGAGCCTGAGCCGTGGGTTTGGGGTGAGCGGGCGCCCGTCCTAAGGGTGGGAGTGGCAGAGGGTCTGGGTGAACCGGCGGCCGCACACCTGGGAGGCGGTGGCGCCCTCTGTTGATGCCACGCGTTTTCAAGGCGCATTTGAGATTGTCTGTGCCCCCCAGGCTGGTGTGGGGCCGTTTTGCGCCCGAGAGCCGCGCTGGGAGCCTCACTGGGAAGGTGTCACCCCTTGGGGACGATAGATCTGAGAAGGGCTTCACAGGCGCGGGAAGCCCAGGGTCATGTACAAATCTCACTGGCCATGAGCGTGGATTCTGAAATTAGGCAAACCTGGATTCAAATAGGGGCTCTTTCGTCTTCCCCTGGGCAATACTTCACCCCACAGAGCCCCAGTCGCCTTGTAGATAACATGGACCTACCTCAAAGGGTTGGCGTAAAGTTTAAAGGATTGAATGTAAAGTAAGTCTGAGCACAGTGCTAGGCACATCAACTCAATATTACAGCTTGTTTGGGGCGTTATTACTGTTGTTGTTAGGATGCTGAGGTGGGCTGGGCTGGGTTCTGACCTTCTCCCAGGTAATGTCAGCCAAGGCCTGGGAAAGCTCACACTCGAATGTAGCTGTGTCGCCCTCAGTCACCTCTAGGTCCTGTGGCACCTGCACAATGGTCACTGGGGCCTCTGGGAGTGAGAAGAGGAAGACAGTGCCGAGGGGGCAGGGTGAGGGCAGGATGGGGACCTGGCTCACAGGGACAAGAACACACAGCGGCACAAGGGTCAGTGGTAGACACATTTAGGCAAGGTGATCAGTGTGGAGGCCACTAGTGAGTAGGGAATGTGCTGGGACAAATGGTCCATGGGGATGCTGGTCAGTGGAGGACTCAGGTTACAGGGGTCCATGGGCAGGAGCGGCCAGCTGGTGGCAACACTTTACAACGGCCAGTATGGGACATGCTGGTGCTAGAGGAGAGGTGGGGGGACCAGAGCAGAGAGTCACCCAGAGACAGGCATGGTCAGTGGGGGCCACATTTAGCTGGAATGAGCAGGAGACACTGGACGATGGGGGACACGATGGATTCAGAGTAGCAAGAGGAGGCCTGAGAGCAGGTGTGGTCAGTGGGGACCACACTGGCCTGGAAGCGACAATAGGGGGCACTGACGCAGAGTTGCTAGTGGACTCATCCTTAGGCACAGACAGTGGATCGCTGGGACTCGAGCGGTCAGAGGGCCATGCTCAGGCAGGCAGACAGGCACAGCAGGCAGCTGTGGTCAGTGGGGTCACACTCAGAGTGGTCAGCGGGGCCATGGTCAGGCAGGCAGGCAGCAGGGACCACACCGGCACAGGCATGCTCACAATGGCACAGTCAGTGGGTGGCAGGGACTGGAGGGTCAGTGGAGCCATGCTGGATCACACTGGCGAGAGGAGCCACACTCAGGTAGGGCAGTCACCGGGGCCGCTGAAGTCCCAAGGGTCAGGGAAGTCACACTCTGGCAGAGAGGTCAGTGGGAGGCACACTGGGATGGGCATGGTCAGTGGGGGCCACACAGGTAGTGGGGTCAGTGGAGTCACACCCAGGCGGTCAGCAGGCAGGCGGCGGGCCCGGAGGCCGCACCTCTCACAGTGAGTCTGGCTGCGCAGCGCACGGAGTCCGCAGTGAAGGAGATGCAGCCGGAGTCGGCCAGGCCCAGGCCACTGAGCACCAGGCGGTGTGTGTGGCCCTCTGTGTGAATGTGGCACTGGGGCCCCGGGTGCAGCCGGACTCCACCCCGGGCCCATTCCCCTGTCACACCCTCCTGGGACAGCTCCAGCTGGAAGGCCGCACTGCCCCCCTCGATGATGGTCACATCGTCCAGAGGCATCAGCACCCTTAGCTGCCTCGCTGGTGGGGGGAGATGTGGGGAGAGAGAGGACGAGAGCTCCAGCTCTGGGCATGGATTTAGGGGGGCTCACACATCCCTCGGCTCTACCTGTGCCACCCTTGACACCCAACCTAGTAGGGACCTATCAAATAATGCTTAGAACCAGGGTGCAGCAGAAGGGAGCCCAGCCCACCAGACTCGGGGGGAGAGGGGAGCTTACTGGGATTAGGAGAGGGGACACACAAAGGAGGTAGGGTGTGGTTAGAAGGTTGAGGGTCTGAGCGAGGGGTCCTGTGACCCTCACCCAGAAGGAGCACAGAACTGGGAGTCAGATACACCCACTTTGGACCCCAGCTCTGCCACATGGTTTGTGTACTGTGAAACCCTTGACAAACTGCTTAACCTCTCTGAGCCTTAGTTTCTCCAATTATACAAGGCCAATAGCACTGAGATGCGGGTTTACTGTGATTAAATGAATGAAATAAATCAGAAGAGAATATGTATCACCAACAAGAACCATTTACCAAGCTCTGTGTGGACATTTTTCATATTATCATATT